TACTCATGTGCACAGCTGTTTTATAAGTAATCAAATGTGTTAGCTTTATCATTAAAAACATTCTGACATAAAAATAACATTCTGCAAAGGATTTTTCACAGCTCCTATGGTGCCTACAATGGGGCTCTGGAGAGAAATACTGAAGTCTGACAAGTAAAGCACCAATGCAAGAATAGGCTACATAAGGTACATAAAAGCATTCAATCCTGAATTGGCCATGGAGTAGATCCTTTTATTTTACTCTTTTCTTGATCCTCTGTATTTCACTTTCCACAGGGGGATTATACACATTTAGCTGATATTTTTCGTTGGACAGGTAAACCCCTTTCCCACCCACCACCCACCCACCCTATACAAGATCCATACTGAATCCTCATTTAAATCAATGGAAACACTCGCCCGGTCTTCACTGAACCTGGGATCATAACCACCATGGGCAATCAGCAAGATTTGGAATTACCTGCCCCATACAGAATTCAGGTTAGCAGGATTCAGGAACAGCAACCTAAAACAACTTGGTTATCGCTGGGCTATGTAGAGAATTAAATTGTTAGTTATGGTGATTTTCATTTATTGGGCATCTCACATTTTCCATACACAACTTAGATAAAAATCCTGTAGATGCAGACCTTTTCCTTCCAAAGTCTAGCTTAGGTAACATGTTATACTCTGCAATGAAAGCCCCCATTGCCAATGAGATGATTTCCCAAGTCAGGTCTGAGTCAAAAATGTTAAAAGGACCTCAAATATGGCCCTTAGATTCTAAAGCAGTCCAATTAAATACAGTGGTTGTGAGGAGAGTAATAGAGAAGGTAGAAAAAACAGTAGTTTGGTCCTTAGCTTAGTGTCTCTAAGCCATTAACACATCTGTTCATCAACCAGAATACTCCCTTTATTTACAGAAAATGAATTAATTTGCACTGATCGCTTTTCCTCTATTAATTACCATGTGTATAATTTTAAAAATTAAATCTTGATATCAGAGGAAAACACAGTTGATCTTAAATATGTCATCGTGCAATAGCTTGCCCTTATTTTAGATCACCAGCTTTGGAGATCTGCACAGACTAAGACTGACAGGCCTTTTAATGGGGAAAATCCAGGAGTCTCATGAGATCCATGCTTTTTTGGTTCAATAAGAATCCTCAGTGGTATTTGCTGAAGAGATCCCTGGACATTAAGCGACATCAACTGCCATTTCTTTAAGCATTAGTGATTCAGATTCTGATGTGAATCCTCTAAACCAATGCGTGCACACGCACACAACCCACTCTCAAAGATTTATAATAGGAGAACAGACAGCACACTTAGAGTGCTGCGGTCTGAGACCTCATGTATCACAAGGAGCCAAGGAGAATATATATATCTGTGGGGAGACTATACAGTCCAGAAACTTGTGGTTTAAAAGTAAGACACAGACACAAGCCTTAGCCACAGCAACATATTTTTCCTATTGAATATCCTTGTTTCTTCTCCCAGAGAAACTCCTGGACTAAACGCCTCATACTAGGGCAGATACAGACAGAGAAAGTGACTCTAGTTTCTGGCAGCTTCCAGTTAAAAGCTGCGGTGGGAGAATTGGAGGCACAGCCATCACCTAATAGAGATCAAACTTCATCACAGCTAGATATATCTCAAATTGGGAAAGAGGATACCGATAGCCTAAGGTACAGCACTTCTTCTCTACCACCAGACCTTATTCTCCCTGATGGGTATCTGCCTCCCATTCCCCCTATTCTTCCCTGGGCTCATTTTCTTCACTGTGGTATTTGTGGCCATGTTTGAGTTCGCCAGCCTTTAAACTTCCTTCACTCCATCGTACAGTAAGCACTATACTGACCTGCTATTTTTGACTCTAACCCAGGCTCATGGGGCCTCTTTATACTAGCACACTAAGTCATTGCTCCCACCCCCCCACCCCCACCACACACACACACACACCTCATCTCTACGCGCCAGAGGGCACAAATTTCTCATAAGCAATTGAGACCAGCATGGATCTGCCCCAAGAACTCCAAAGTGAAACAAAATCATCTCCCCCTAACGTTTCTGATTGGCCAATGCTGGATCCATGCTACAGAGCATGAGCTTTTGTAATGGAAGACTGCACTCCCATTGAGAGGCAATTTCCTACCTTGACTCACATGCCTTCTCACGGAAACGTTAACTTGTGTTGGGAGTAGGATAGTTGTAGACTCATCAGAATGCATTAAAGTAGGGCCACCCAGGGCTGATTTGACAATTATTGCACAACAACGGCAACTCCGTGTCTCAAAGCTGACATCCGTGCTCTTCCAGTGGGTACAAGAGGTTTGGTTCAAGGCTCTAATGCTACAAGGTGCTAAGTGCCCTCAATGCCCAGTGTCATCCATGAGAACTGAAGCTGCTAGCTCCACCCAGGAGATGGTCAGCACATTGCAGGGGCAGGCCCTTACGAAGTACCCTCTGTTGTCCCTGCATGTTTTCTCATAGAAATTTTTGGTCTTAAAAAAAAGAAATATTTTATTTTAAACGAGGATTCAAAAATCTTCAGGGGTCCTATTGAAAGAGATCTAAAAGATCCTGCCTGTCTGAAGGAAGGAAGTTTCTACTTGTCAGTTAAACAAAGGAATAATGCACAGCCTCCTTTATAGTGTGTACTTTACCTGTCATCCAGCAGCCCATTATCATGTCACGGCAGAGTGCACTTTTCTACAGGTCACTTTGTTTAAAATGACATGGATAATGCACATGTCAGCGAGCTGACAGTCCTCACCGTCCTTCAGAGATAAAAACCGCAAGACAAGCGCCTGTTCTTATCTGGGGTACATGCCTTGGTCTATCATCTAAGTCAGACAGAACATGATTTCTCCAGAGAGCACTTTTTTCATTTCCTGATTTTAAGGAAATCAAATAAGCACCATTTGTCTTCATCTGAATATGCTTGACCTGCTCAAATGATGATGTCTTGCATTTTATAACAGGCTACATATGCTGAATTCAAATTAACAGCAGAACAAGGCCCTTAGATCTCTGCCTAGGCTGCCAGTGTAGGCTCGAAAAATACACCAGCTTTAGCAGCTTTCTCTCAGAATTGGGTCTGAGCTGCACAATTCAGAGCTGGGTTTGGTTCTGGGATCTGAACTGCCTCAGTCACCAGGGACATTTGGATCTGAGCTTAATCTCATCCCTTTGACCAGGCATCAATTGTCAAGTTCAGACCCGGGTTTGGATTTCAAACTTTCTCTGCAGCAATCCTGGGACATTCAGTGAGAGGGGCCATTTTGGGCCCCTCTCCAGTATTGTAATGAAGAAATATCCCTTAATTGTCAATACCCGGGTCCCTGAAAGCTGCCCAGTTTGCCTTTATACACAAAACTGCTGGGAGAGCAAAGCATCAGGAAAACTGGCAGAGGTTAGCTCTGCAACTATAGGAGTGGAAGGAAAATACATTTATGGTGCTAGATGCCATAAATATAGGTACCATGCTCAGTTTATCATCTTCCCCCACATAAGGAATATTCTGAAAATGAACCATCACTATATTGGGTGGAATTTAATAATAATGCATTAGAAGTTCATATCTAAAGATGCAGGTTAATAGTCTGTGTAAAAAAACCCCAACAAAACCACACATCTCTGTTGTCATTCTCTGATTTACTCCAGTGATTAGTCTTCCTATGGAGGGGAAATCACTAATGGAGTCAAATGCCGCAAACTAAAGTAAATAGTATGTCTTAACATAGTTAACAAATGATTATGAAAACCACAGAAGAAACAAATCCTGTTTGGGAAGTTATCAAAAGCTGAGGGCCAAAGAGTTGGCAGTTGAAGGCACAGGGAGAGTTTTTTTCCTTTTCTTCCTCCTATACAAAGACATCACTGATTAACTTTACCGAATTTGAGCCCTTGCAGTCTGTTGTTTCCTTGTGCATTTCACAACATGCTTAGATTCTTTTCTGATGTGTCAGTGGAGATACACAATGGTGTCATTGTAAAGCACATCATCATCTTCCTTCTTCTTGGTCTACCTGGAGTCAGTTCATAGAACTAGTCACTGTCCTCTAAATAATGTGAGGGAGCCACATGGAGCAGACATCCCCACATTCTTCCCCAAATGTACCCAGCAAAGAAAAGAAGAGGAGAAAGCAGTTAAACTGACAAAGAAAAAGGTTTGGGGTCATCCCTTAAGGCCCGTCACACACATAAGAGTCGCAGAATTCAACCTAGAAATGACATTTTAAAACCTTTTTTCTCCATTATGATCATTTGTTTTGACAGGCAAGAATGTTATACAGAGGCTTGTTCACATCAAAGGAAAAAAATCAGACATATGAAAATACATTGATGCAAATACTACAGTTCTTAGCATCATGAACAACAATAACTTTATCAATTGGTGCTTCCCTAACATTTTTAACAGCACAACTACTTCCTCCCGCACACACCCCGCCCCAAGATTCTTAGGGTGGGATCATTAGCCCTTTACAAAGAAAATCTATTGATCTGCCTAGGGCCCAGCTTCCAAACGTTGTTTCAATGGAGGCACTCTCAAAAATAAATGTATGAACCCGCAGAGCTGGCAGAACCTTGCATGTGCACATGCAAACCAGACAACAGTGTGGATAAACGACCATTTAAAAGAGCAAATATGGATCTTTGCAAATATGTCCCCATGCATTCATGACATGTTCGCGTTTCCAAAAGGTAAACGCAGCTATGCAAAGGGCCAGTGGTCAAAGCAGTGTTCGTAAGCTACACACACAAATTACGTTACCAATATGTTTCAGAATGGGTGGTGGAGCCTCTAATTCATAGTCTAGAAAAGTTTTTCCTAAAGCATCTGTTCCAAAACCCATTGAAGTCAATGAGAGTCTTCCCACTGACTACAGTGGGCTTTGGATCAGGTCCTAAAACAAAATGTGTATAAACAACTGAAAAATAGAAGTGAATCCAACAAGACATTCTCTGTGCCCATAATGACATCGAACAGAACAGGTTGCAAGTGCTCCCCAGCTTACCTTCTCTTCTTGATCACTGTCACTGTCACACTGAAATGGAAAAAAAAAGAAAATAAACATGGATAAGAGAAACCTTTCCAAAACAAAACAAAACAGAGATAAAAGATATGACCAAAGCTCTCAAAATGAGTGAAACACACACAGTCCATTAGGCTGCAACTGTAATTCCTTTGGAAAGAAACACTTACTATATAACAGGAATTCCTCCCCCCCAACCCTTGCAAAAAGCATTTGTAGTTAAAGACACCATACTTGTATTTTTGTTTCTATTACAACACTACCATGATTCAACAAAGTCATTTGGAATATATGCCCTAGTCGCCCCGTCAGGCTAATTTACATTCAAGGAAGCTGGTCTTGCATCAGGACAGTTAGAAGCTAAAATTAAATCACAGGGAGGAAAAAATATTAGCTACTTCCTTTGTCTGATGAAAAGTAGGTATCGCGCTGCCTCCCAACAGATCAGCTGCAAAGGTTTTGTCAATGGCAGGACATGGAAACAGTTTAGACAACACTTGTTTGTCCTAGAAGATACACATGACAAGTCTACCATTTTACTCCATTATTACTGTAGATGGCTCGCTTGGGTGCCATTGCTCACAGATGATTCACTGAAAAATTCAGATGACTCAAGACAAATCAAAATGGAACTGAGAACATGTTGTATCAAGGCTCTATTCAGTGAGATGTTCTGGACTCCTAAACTGGGATTGATGATGACACGTAAACACTTGTACTGTACATTGCTGATTACCGCACTGGTGTCTATCTTGCAAAACATCTCTTTCGGTTGTTCCAGTTTTAAATACCACAAATAATACCACAGCTAGAAATGGGTGAACCTCAAGTGGTGAATCGGTATGGAAAAGAAAGCAGAAGTTCAAATCTTACCTGAACTATTGATTTTCTTAGCGTCAGTAAAGATAGGGACATGGGAATTGGCTTATCAACTCAGACCACTGGTCCAGTATCCTGTCTCAGAGTGGCTAGTAGCAGATGTTTCAAAGGAAAGAGTAAGACTGCCACAATGGACAATTATACAATACCATACCTATGGGGAAAGCTTCTTCCTAACCCAGGCAGGAAGCCAATGGGAGTTAGGCACCAAAATATCTTTAAGGATCTGGGCCTTAGTGCTCAGTTTATGCCCTGAATCATGAGGAGTTACATTCATTATACATTTTTCCTAACTAATGTAACTGTAAAAGTTTTTGTCTTCACTGCTTTAGATTTCTCCTAATTCTTTTCCGGGAGAGAGTAAATGGGAGCACCTGCTTTACTTTCTCTGCACCACTCTACTCACTACCAAGCTATGGCTCAGAATTATTCACAGATATTATCTGGCAAATAATTTCAAATAATGGATAAATTAGAGAAAACTGCCATCTGCCTGCAGATAATTCCCAAATAGGAACAGAGGTGAAATTCATTGAACAAATTATTCATTAAAAATGATTTATCTAACTCTAGTTTGCACCTGGCTACTTCGGTGACTGGAATAATATTAAAAAAAAGATCAGATCAGGTAGATGAGAGACAGTCTTATATCAGAACTTAACCTCAAACAAAGATCAAGGTAGGATTTGTTTGTTTGGTGTGCATGCCGTGCGTGTGTGTGTGCGCGCACGCATGTGTGTTTATGTTACTGACAAAAGTAACATTTGACATTTTTTATACTAGAGAGGGGGACATATACTAGGAGACAGCAAATTATGTTTTTTCCCTTTCAACTTGCGCCCATCCGGAGACTTTGATCCTGCAATCACTTATGCACATAAGAAGTTCCACTGAGTTCCATCTTTACACTATCCCTTGTGTAAAGTTATCCAGATATGCCCGAGGTTCGCCTATATGCCAAAACATACAGCATTTTCCATCAGTGCATATCAGAGCACATTACAAAGTAGGTATCATTATCTGCATTTTACAGTGGAGACACTGAGGCACAGAGAAAGGAGCAGGGAGGGGGAAATGATTTAGCCAAGATCACTCAACTAGCCAGAGTTGAGGATAGAATCTAACCATTGGCCCACACTGCCTCCTTCTCCACTATTATTTTCAGTGTCATAAACCAAAAGGAGCAAGCACAACAATGGATGTTGTGAATTGACAACAGCAACAAATTGTTTTACATGCCTCCCCTTCTTTTGGAGTTTAAGGGATTTCTCCCCGGTTCACAGGTGTGCTGACGGATTGTTTTTGGTTTTGGTATTTTTTTTTTCCAGGGAGGGGGAAGGAGAACACCTGGTAGGAAGGTTTTTTCCTCCCCGCCTCCAATCTCTTACAACTTCAAGTTAGCAAAGTAATCAATGACCTCTGAATTTCCCAGCACAACGTTTACCTACATTCCAGAGATGCTGCAGAGAAAGCTCGGGGAATAACATCCGTAGGAACGGTTATTTCCATCAAAGCGTTAAGCCTCCTGCCTTACGACAGTCCAGTTCTAATTTCAAGGTCCGCTTAGTTCTGCATCAAATAATTACGGCTATACCCAGAAGCACCTCGTCTCCAGAGTTAAACATATGGCGAAGGACTGAGACCTACTGGTGTCCATTATGGAAGCAACGCGGGTGCCAAGCTGATTAAAAATGCTCAGGCTCCCTTCACAACATGCCTGGCGACTGACAGCTTCGCGATTTGGCCACTCACTCTGTCTGCCAAAAAAGCCTCTGCTGTGCTGGGGCCCACATGGCGCTCTGAGAAAACAGTTCCATTCCTGGTATTAAATTCCCATACTGACCCGAGGACTTTGCCGTGAGCTCAGCAGGCGCGCACCAGCCAATTTACAGCTCCATCCTCAAGAGCCCTGAGTGCCAGCCTCTGGCAGAGACGAATGATGGTCAAACCCCTACAGCTCATAAATTATGCAAAGGCAATAAATGCACTCAGCAAACAGCTCCTAACGTTTGCCTAGCCTGGCTCCTAATACACTTCATAAAATGCCAGGAGTCCTGCATACACAAGGCATCTATTTCACTCATAAAGAGGTTTTGTTGAGAAGGAGCAAGGGAAAGAGACCCACAGTCCTGTAGAGCTGTTTCAATAGCTGAATGTTATGGGCAGCTTTATGAAAGAAAGGGAGGAAAAAAAGGGTGGGAGATGGAAGAGGATTTACATGCTGTGTTGAGTTTACATTTTCATTTAACACGTATGTGTTCCTGGCCCAGAGTGTGCTGCATTGTAATGCTAAATGGGCTTCTCCTTGAGGATAAAAGATACAGGATCCCCCACCTTTCATGAAAAAGAACGGAGCCATTTATTTGCATAGAAACATTGAACAAGACATTAAGAGGAGGAAGAATAGGTTTGTTGCTATGGCTCAGAACTGGAAGTTGGGGCAACTGTACTCTCTTCTTGGATCTGAACACGATCAGTGCGCTGTTGGGTAAGTCGTTTAGGCCCACATTTTCAAAGGTGGTCAAAGGATTTGCATGTTTCCATTTCTGGTGCCTTTTCCCAGAGATTCTAAAGTACCCGCAGTTCCCATTTACTTCAGCCGGAGCTGCACACGCTCAGAAGCTCTGAAAAGCAAACCTTGAATGTCTATAGTTAATCACCTCCTAAAATTGGTGGCCACTTTTGAAAACTTAGGGCTAAATTTGGCAATGCCTCAATTTTTTTCGTTGGTAAAATGAGGATAAAAATATCTGCCTACTTCACAAGGGTATAGTGAAACTAAAACGCATTAATGTTTGTTAAATGCTTGGGATTTTCAGACAGAAGGCACAAGAGAAATGCAGAAAAATAGTGGAAATAGAAGAATTGTATAACCTTGATTTCAGCTCACCATATTATACAGTCATTAGCATCTTGAGACCTGTTTCAGTTACCTAGGAAGGGATCACTGCATTAATCATCAAGTTCATGCTAACTCACTGTGTTACACAGAGACGACTAATGACCTGCCAATACTTCCTTTGCATAGCCTTATCTTCTGACACCTATAACACAACTGTCAAGAGGTGCTCCAGAAGGAAGTCTTACCTGATGAGACAAATTCTACTCTCAGTCACGTGGGTGAAATCAAAGGGCTTTCACAGGTGCGAGGGAGAGCAAATAAGATTCTCAGCCAAATATTAAAGATATCAAATACCAATTTGGATTTTTGTTGTTGATATAGGAGTGGACAGTTAATGGAGTATAACAACTTGATGTTTCATCTCCACGAACCTCTAATTCAAAAATGGCTTTGTTCTTTCAACCAGTGCTTTTGGAAGTGGTGTTTTGTGTGTGTGTGTGTATATATATATGCCTATGCAACACAATATATAACTAAAATATTGTGTTGCATAGACATCAGACTTTGAACCAGTTTACTATAGTCAGTAAACTTCCAACAAAGAACTTCATACATGCGTTTGCTGTAGATGAACTATGCCCTTGTGCACAGAACCAGCACAAAACTTGTACACCACGCAAGTCCCTATTCTGGAACTTAAGCAAAGCCATTTGCACAGGGGCAAATTACACTCTGTGCACACACTACACGGGCAGGAGCGGCACCAGGATTTTTGGTGCCCTAGGTGGGGGTCCTTCCGTGCTCCTGGTTGTCGGCGGCAATTCTGCAGCGGGGGGATCCTTCCGCGCTCCCGGTCTTTGGGGCACTTCAGCGGCGAAGGACCCGCCACAGAATTGCCGCCGAAGACCTGGAGTGCAGAAGGACCCGCCGCTGCCAAATTGCTGCCGAGGGCGGCAAAATGCTGCCCCCCCCCCCAAATCCTGGCGCCCTAGGCAACCACCTAGGCCCTGTACATGGGGATAATTTACAGATTCCAGTCTTATGCATATTGTGCGTCTCAATAACCTGAGCCCAACGCATGTGCTGCATTCAAATAATCTTCAGATTTGGGCCCCAACACATACAGTAATTCAGAGCTATCATGGCCTGCTTTTCAGAGGGGTTGAGCAACCACCGCTCTCATTGGGCCTCGCTGAATGTTGCGGGTGCTCAGCACCTCCGAAAAGCAGGCCAATGAGCCCGCTGGCATATATTACAATTGAATGATCCACAGCTCTTTTCCCTGATTCTC